TACTAGTAAGTAAGGTAGTCACGTTACGGAAATATTTACTAGTATACTGTAAGTAAGGGTAGTCACGTTACGGAAATAGTTTAACTAGTATACTGTAAGTAAGGAGTAGTCACGTTACTAGGAAATATTTACAGTATACTGTAAGTAAGGGTGTCACGTTACGGAAATATTTACAGTATACATCTTATTTATAAATAGCCAACATCGTGGCTACTGTTAAAGTAGTGGGTCAATATGATACAATGTTTGACAAAGTTAGAGGACTTCGTTCTAGGACAAGTGACCACGTGGTGGCAGTGCGTCTTTTACATTTTATCAGTTGTTCATAGTAACTTAATATTATGTTAAGTTAATATTATAATCCAACAAGCTCCAGTTTCACGGAACACACAGGGAGCCAAAAAAAGAGGGAAAAAAAATGATGGGCAGTAAATATTCTAAATCTACAAATATTTCTCTATTTTTTTGTGTGAAAGTGAATCGTCGAGTGGTGCGACATTTATCAGGCGCGAACAAACTTTGTCCAACCGCGTGGTGCGACATTTATCAGGCGCGAACAAACTTCGGTCAGTTTGACTTGACGTGATCCCGGAGTCAATAATAATTAACTCTGTCTGGTCAAACACGGGGAAAGATATATGTGGCGCGACTTTGGACATCACAGTTACCGCGTCAGCAGGTTCATCAAGAAAGGGGGCGTGACGTAACATGGGCCCGGCAGCCATATAATCACGTCGTTCTGGGGTAAGGCAAGTGAAAACGAGTTTTCATAAATGGGGAACTTTTCTGCGCAAGTGTAAATCTTGGATAATGAAGGGCTAAAAGTGACACGCGACACCTCGTGGTTACAACGAGCAGCGAAGTTAACTACTTACAGCATGGTAAACACTCGTCCACGTGATTTATATATTCAGTTAAAATAGGTATTAACTTACATGGTATATACAGATCGCCGTTTATTAAGAGTGAGTTAATTTTCCTTTATATTATATACTTTTAAGTTTAATTTTTTTTGTGTGTGTTCTTAAGATTGTAGTTTCAAGGCAAAATTTTGTCCAAACAAACGCTTTAAAACATATATTATTATTCAGGCTTCTATAAATGTCCTATACTACCAATCTTTTTTATATTGTCGATCTTCAATTATTACTTAAGGATTTCTACAAATATACAACTGAATTATTTACGTCCTGCAATAATTAAAAACAGGAGTTAATGAAATCGCCAATATAAATCAATGTTTTCAAAAGTCCCCTGAAAAAAAAAAAAGGTGCTAAGTTTATGGGTCAGAGGTGGTGACTATAGTCGTGTCACTGTGCACCAATTATTAAAAAAATGTTCTAAAGTTAGCGTTTCAGGAGTGAAACAATAGCATTTCATTATTATAGCCCCCCCTCCCCCAAGTGACACAGAGGCATGTCAGCGGACTTACAACGCTAGAATCCCGGTTTCGATACCCGTGGTGGGTGGAGCACAGATAGCCCATTGTGTAGCTTTGTGCTTAATTATAAACAAATAAATAATTCGTTATTATAATTAAATAGTTTAGAAGGAGTGCTCTAACCATCAGTTTTTTCTTTTTTAACTTTTGGATATTTTAGCATTATAATGAATGTTCAGATAAAAACACAAACTTGAGTAGTTTAAGTTTTCCTAAACGTAATAAAAAACAAAAACACGATCACCGTTCTGGGAGTAATTCTTTGATAGACAAATTTCCGATAGAAATAAATCAAATGCGGGTTTTACTTTATTGTTTATCTCAAAATAAAAGTATTTCTGTAAGGAATTTTTCCCTCTACAAATGGGCGGGCTGAGTGCAGAAGGTTTTAATATTTTTTTAAAAGAATCGGTTTCTAGTCAAGTAAACTATACTGAAAGTTGATTGGCTCACAAATGTATTACGCCAAAATATGTTGAAAAATAAGGTAAACCCAAGTTTTATCTACTTAACAAAATTAAGGTAACTGTTAATTCTCTAAAACTATATTCGAAATAAACACACTGCTGAAAGTTTAAATTCACAAAGAGGCCGAAAGTTCTAGCCCCCCAGTGGCACAGTGGTATGTCTGCGGACTTACAACGCTAGAATCCGGGTTTCGATACCCGTGGTGGGCAGAGCACAGATAGCCCATTGTGTAGCTTTGTGCTTAATTACAAACAAACAAACGGATGAGTGAGCCCCCTAGTGGCACAGCGGTATGTCTGTGGACTTACAACGCTAGAATCCGGGTTTCGATACCCGTGGTGGGCAGAGCACAGATAGCCCGTTGCGTAGCTTTGTGCTTAATTACAAACAAACAAAATCCGAAAGTTCTACGAATAACGTGACCGTAACCAACAGACGTTCTTTTCACGACATAAAGTCCATAAATTAAAAAAAAAAAAAGAAGTTTTTCTGGTGATTCTTCAGTGATTTTTGAGAAAGAACGCTGTACGATGATTAACAGTTCTCAGAATTAACTAAGGTCTTAAATAAACAAGAAATTTTCTATTATGAGAGCGATAAGATGATTAGAACAGACGCAATGTTAAAGTTCACATGTAATCATAGCAAAGAAAATATAATAGTCATAACAAAAAAAAAATATATATTAATTTTTGAAAAAACTAAAGCTTCTTATTACGGAGCAGAAATGATACAGTATTTCGTTACAGTTAAATACGACCTGATCCAGTCAGGAAAGGGACAGCACTCGGAAGATGTTTTCCTTGTAGTTGGTTGTTGGTCAAACAGTAAGAGAACATTCAGTGCACTCTCGAATTTCGAACCAATTTTGCTGGGTTATCCCACAAATTCGTGTTATTTTTACTTGAATGTTTGTGTTTAATAATATCTTATGAACATAATGAAAATGTTTGTTTCTTTTGTTATTAAATACACAAATAATGGGCTGTGTTGCCCACCACAGGAATCGAGCCCCGAATTTTAGCTTTATAAACTTAATTACCGCTGAGCCACCAGTAAGGTGGGTGGGGGTGGGGCAAAGGAATACCACCTGTATTGGCTCAGAAGGATAATAAAATACAATAATATATATATATATATATCGCACCATATCATACAATATCGTAGATCGACTTGGTAAAACCCAATTCACACTACTGACGTCATCCACAAGAAAAACATATATCAATCTTACATCTGTTCTAACAATAAACTTTTTTTTTAATAGCAAGATAGCTTTAAGGTTCCTTTCCTCGTTGTTATGCCTGTTATCTTGATTGCAGATGAACGGATAAAATATATTTATTGGTGTGCTTGAATTGCAATATCTCTTTAAACCACTACAAAATAAAAGTAAACAATGCTTTACATTTTCAATTATTCCTGTTTTCTCCGGGCAATATCATTTCATATTATGAACAGAAATTCCTTTTATTTCTAATTTACATTTTATTATTGGTACCCTTCCCGTTGCCGCAAAAAAAATTACTCTGACACAGTGATTTATTGAAACTTGGCGGCTTAAGATGCGAAAATACGTTAAGGAATACTCGGAATACACCGTTATTAGAATACATTTATACAGTATAAAAAGTATTTTCTGCTATCAAACGTTTCTAGTTTGAAACTAGGATGTATCCTGTCACCCTGCTCTATTCAGGCCTGTCTTTAGACAATGTAGCAACCAAAAAAAAAAAGGTATGTTTCACAGAATTTGTTATGATAGTGAAGGTTTGCCCAAGAAACTTTAGTCTCTTCATCTTCTAGTAATGATAGTGAAGGTTTGCCCAGGAAACTTTAGTCTCTTCATCTTCTAGTAATGATAGTGAAGGTTTGCCCAGGAAACTTTAGTCTCTTCATCTTCTAGTAATGATAGTGAAGGTTTGCCCAAGAAATTTTAGTCTCTTCATCTTCTAGTTTTATTTCTTTATCGATACAATTACAGCAACAATACTTTGGTTCTCGATACAATTACAGCAACAATATTTTGTTTCTCGATACAATTACAGCAACAATACTTTGGTTCTCGATACAATTACAGCAACAATATTTTGGTTCTCGATACAATTACAGCAACAATACTTTGGTTCTCGATACAATTATAGCAACAATATTTTGTTTCTCGATACAATTACAGCAACAATACTTTGTTTCTCGATACAATTACAGCAACAATATTTTGGTTCTCGATACAATTATAGCTACGATACTTTGGTTCTCGATACAATTATAGCTACGATACTTTGGTTCTCGATACAATTACAGCAACAATATTTTGGTTCTCGATGCAATTATAGCAACAATATTTTGGTTCTCGATGCAATTATAGCCACAATACTTTGGTTCTCGATGCAATTATAGCAACAACATTTTGGTTCTCGATGCCATTATAGCAACAATATTTTGGTTCTCGATGCAATTATAGCAACAATATTTTGGTTCTCGACGCAATTATAGCAACAATATTTTGGTTCTCGATGCAATTATAGCAACAATATTTTGGTTCTCGATGCAATTATAGCAACAATATTTTGGTTCTCGATACAATTATAGCTACGATACTTTGGTTCTCGATATAACTATAGCAACAATACTTTGGCTTAAGTACTCAAATTTGAAGAAGCAATTTATTTCTTACGAGCGATTATTCTAGACGTTTTTATTTTAACATTTTGTAGGTGTTTATACGGCGGTGAGTGACATTGTTGGTTTATCTATGTTAAGTTTTTAATTACAAACCATAAAAAATATGAACATCATTATTGGATATTTTTTCAACCATATATCTTATATAACATCATTCGCTTAGACTTTTTTTTCAACGATTTCAAGTATTGTATTATTCTACTAGAAAATCCCCCCTCCCCCCATAATTCTAGCTCCAACTATTTCAGTTACTTAAACAAACAACGCCCACATACTTTTATGGGTGGAACCTTGCCCGCCACGCCCTGCGAGTTCCGGCTTTCGTCTCTCCACTGTAACCTTGGAAACTGATATTCAAAATCCCTCATCCCGGATCTACATCGTAAACAAAATATCATATTATGACTTTCAATCGACATTTATCTCCAACTCTATAGCCAATTATCTTAGAATAGCTCATCCTATGGATTTTTATTAACGGACTAAAACCCACAGGCAATAAGACTTACATGCGATCACGTATGTTAAGATACAGTTCTTGGAATGCTGATACATTGGTATATTGACTCATTACACTTGATGACGCGGTTCTTCTTTAGTAACTTTTAACGTCTTAACTCGACTCACTTTCGCGTCCCTGGTGGATAGATTAGTTTATTTGTTGTTTTTCTGGATAACTGACAAAATATAGAGGTGCATGATTCCAGGGTGTCAACTTATTTTCCTTGTAATTAATACATATTTGTGTGCCTTGTGGGTGAAGTAAAACAAGCTAAACGACGCATTTTTTGTTTAAATACCTTCGCGACGTCCCTGCTGAAAAATACTTTATAAGATGCATTATTAATAATGAATGCGAGTTCACTGACATTTTTGGAAATTTAAATTCTCATTAACTCAATTGGAACAGCATTTGAACATCAGTATATACAGCTGCTTGATTATATAATACATACAAATATTACAGGGGCCTTTCTGTCATTTTCTTAAGAGCAAGCATACGTTATACGATGTAACGCAGTCAAGCATCACTTTGGGGGTTTGCTTGTTTGTAATTGAGCACAAAGCTACACAATGGGCTAGCTGTGCTCTGCCCATCACGGGTATCGAAACCTGGATTCTAGCGTTGTAAGTCCGCAGACATGCCGCTGTGCCACTGGGGGGGGGGCACTTTGGGGGTTCCGCATTATTCGGTAACTGTATATATACAATTGATTTGTTTGTTTTTTTTGTATAATTTCGCGCAAACTACACGAGGGCTATCAGCGCTAGCCGTCCCTAATTTAGCAGTGAAAGACTACAGGGAAGGCAGCTAGTCATCCCCACCCACCGCCAACTCTTGGGCTACTCTTTTACCAACGAGTAGTGGGATTGAACATCACATTATAACGCCTCCACGGCTGAAAGGGCGAGCATGTTTGGTGGGATGGAGATTCGAACCCGCGACCCTCAGATTGCGAGTCGAGCGTCCTAACTACGTGGCCATGACGGGCCAAGCAATTGAAGAGTTGTTGATATAAAAGTCGCGAAACTAGTAGTTTTTGTGCGTAGTTAAAAAAAAAAAAAGAGTTAAAAAGTTTCATCAAACAGATCAATATTTTGGATTATTTTTATATTTTGTGATTAGCACTAAGTTTTCGAAGTTTGAGACTTGACAGTTTTAGGCTTATATCGGAATTAAACTTATCATGACTTTGTATAATAAAAAAAAAAGGAAACTGGAGTGCATGAGCTTACATGATTAAAGAAACATAACGAATTCCGACGAATTTCTTTTAAGTTTTATGTTCAGTTTTACATAATATGTTCGGTTCATACTTTCAACATATCCTAAGTACACATATATTTCAGACACAATTTGCCCCCCTCCAAGTGGGGCAGCAGTATGTCCACGAACTTACAACTCTAAAATCTAGGGTTCGATTCCCGTGATAGACAGAGCGCATAGAACTCACTGTGCTGTGTAATTTTGCCCTTAAAAGAAACAAACAATCAAATATTTTAACCTCTATCTGGGATCGAATATCCACTGGTCCAAAAGTGTCCAAATTATTTTACAACTAATTAGGAATCAGGGAAACCCCAAATGTATAGTTAAAATTTTATTAGTGAAATACATGGTTTGAATACATTTGCCAGTTAAACCCCCAGAATGCACCAGCACCCTGACTGAACCTAAACAAATTATTGCACCAGCCTCCCCGACTGAACTTAACGGTAATTATTGCACCAGCACCCTGACTGAACTTAACGGTAATTATTGCACCAGCACCCTGACTGAACTTAACGGTAATTATTGCACCAGCCTCCCCGACTGAACTTAACGGTAATTATTGCACCAGCACCCTGACTGAACTTAACGGTAATTATTGCACCAGCACCCCGACTGAACTTAACGGTAATTATTGCACCAGCACCCCGACTGAACTTAACGGTAATTATTGCACCAGCCTTCCCGACTGAACTTAACGGT